ATGTGAATATCATTTGCATAAAATATTATCCTAAATTAAATAAACTCATTCCTTTCTGAACCTCCTTGGGAAAGGCGTTGAACGAATTTCCACAAGGGTTCTCTGCTCCCATCGAGAAGCACCCTCATTTAAATCCGCGTGCCCCTTTTGAATGAAACCTTGGTCACTTTGGCGCGAGCTTGCTTGAAAAATCACACAAGTTGTAATTGGAGAGGGCCATTAATTAAAATCGTGCACCATTCATTCGAGAGGGTCCGGCAGTTGCGGTAATTACTGCGCAAATCCAGTGCCGCGATAATTAGCCTCGGCCAATACTCGACGCGACGAGGGCCATCGTGCGATTTCAAAGTCTATCGCCTCGGACTCGTTCATTTTCCAACTGCTGCCATTCTGCGAGTTGGAGAGCCAGCAAGATGAGGAGTAGTTCTCGCTCCTTTTTCTTTCATTCCTCGTCTTTATTTTTCTCTCCACCTTTTCATCCCTTCGTTAGAACAAGCCGAGACCCGCCGAGACGGGAGAGAGGTTATTATTATCCAGGCAGTCGTCATTGTTTCAAGATAAAGCACTTGACATCATTGTTATGCTCAAGATGTGTGCTTATCATTAGATACACTATAGGTACAGCAGTACTTATTATTGTTACAGTCTTCAAAAATAATGATCATCCGTATTTTAAGAGTCGCACACAACACCCAACGAGCGCACATTCATACACGGCGCTGCTGCTCGAGACACACGAGATGAAAATATTTTTCAGCGCAGCCTCTGTGTCTCTTGACAAAAGTGTCAACCCTCCAGCTATAAGTATCATTTGAGATGTGAGTACTTTATGGTATATTCATGATCTCGCCAGCAGTCTCTCTCACGTCTCTCGTCCTTTGGGCGAACAGCCTAAAATTTTCGAGTTCCTCCCTCTGCATGTTTTCGCGGAGCGAGAGACACACAGAAGGAAAGAAACGCTCCTTTGAGCCGGCTAGAATATCATCATTTGGCTTTTTTCGCAACAGGACCGCGCGCGCCAAGCGACGGATAAAGGGAAGACCGCCGAGTTTTGACGCTTTAGTTCAAAAGGAAACGGGTTTACTCAAAGTAAACGCGAAAGATCGTTTTCACACGACGGCAAAAAAAATTGTATAGTGAGAGCACGCTAAATTTTCAAAATGTTTTTACATTTTATTAATTTTCATGTTTCGCGCAAGAATTGTATCTTCATGGATTTATTTGTAAAATATGAGTCTGCTCTACACTTTATGGCACTTTCAAAACAATATTAAAAATTTTAGCAAAAGCTCAACATTTCTTAATCTATATGTGGAATAAAATTAACTGAAACAATATTTTTGAAGCCCAATTAAATAATAATCCACCATGAAAAAGCTTTGCATTGTTTTTCAATATATTGTATTAAATATAGACCAGATTTTACAGCAGTCAAAAGACAAAGTTAGTTACATTGGCGAGAAAAAGAGTAAAAGACTGATTTAATTATTCTATTGAATTTTTATTTTTCATTCAATCGTGAATACTTAAAATAAATGTTTAATTAAGCAAACAATAATAATGTTTTAAAAATTTTACATATACCTTCAAAAATTTTGGTACAAAAATATCTCTTTGTCTTTTAATAAAATATAAAATAAAAACAATTTTTATTTGTAAATTTATTTATAACAAATTATAAATATTACAAAAACACCAAAATTATAAAATTATATTTTTGTATATTTTAAAACTATTATACATCGCTATTTTTTAAACAAGTAATATCAATTTTCTTTGCAATAAAAGCTTTGTTGTAGTTTTTCTAATTCGAATGTTAGCAGACCGTACGGAATAATGAATTTATTAAGTTAAAAATTCAGTATTGTTTCCATCGAACCTCAAATATTATGAATTATATTACTCACGTCAAGCCATCAGGGAAAAATATACGTATGATAGAATCAAAATTCTGCCAGAGAATATCACCTAAATTTCTCAAGTGCCAATTTCCGCGATTCCCACGTTGCTGGGAGAGTTGCTGAGCGGTTGAGCAGAGCTCGCGCGTTCAACGCGAGCGAAAATATTAATGAAATGATAATAGGGCCGGGCAAAGCAAAAATCGTTGAGCGATTTTCCCATCCGCGGAATCTCCACCATGCATGGAGTGAGCGAGTGGGTGCCGCATGAGTGCACTCTCCAATTCAAATTGTAATTAGCGCCAAGTGCAAATTGTTATTGTAAGTGCCGCTCATCAGCAGGCGGAATTGTTTCAATTATTGCTGCCTTGCTCGCTATCCGAGATCCAATAATATTTATCGAGAGAGAGCGAGAGAGGAGAAAGAGCGATACATATATTAATAGAGCGCCTGCATATTATTTCATTTTGGAAACGTCGTGTGTGTGTATGCGTGATATTCATGTAGAGAGGCAATCTAGAAATAACATTCGCCGGTTGGAAATTAATTCAGATATTGATGCTGCTGTTGTTGCGCCAAAGCCAATTGAAATTTCATTCAGAGCCGGGCGGGATTATTTAGGATATATGGAGAATCGCTGGCGGAATTGAAAGCTGCACACGCACTTGCTCCAGCAATAACAATAATTTCGGCATCAGTGTTGCGCCAGCAGTGCCAGCTATTATCTTTCTGAAATTAATCAAAACTCGTCCTTATATTGTCTGCTGCCTGCTGCTACACACGTTGCTTGCGACTCGTGTGATGTGTGTGTGTTTCCTTATGAGAGGCTCTCCGAGAAGTGATAAAGGTCGCGCCGGGGTGCATTCAAATGCAAATTCACGATCGAGATGGCAACAAACCCGACTACTGCTGTGCGAGTGCTGGAATTACGCAGGAATTTATAATAGCAACTATACGACTGAGGATTTAACTGCGAAAGGGTTAAAAATTTATTATTGTCAGTTGTTTTGTTCAGTTTAATATAAAGGAGTATGTGAAGAATAAAAGATAATTGTCCGTCAAGGATGAGACGAGATTTAGAAAATAGAATTATTTCCATGGTTCCATGGTTAAGGTTGAAGTTATTTGGCAAAAATTGATAATTGATGATTTTCTACATTTCATAAATAATGAGCGACTATTATATTAAAAATTGCAATCGTAAACCTGTGATAGTTGCATGTTATGGAATTAAAAACAGATCGATCTACCATCAGGATTTTTTAATTAAGATAAACCTTATAAAAATATCTAAAACGGTTAAATTAAGCAGTTTAAAATATTATAAACAGATTGGAAGCCATGGCAAAATGAAAAAAAACGCAATCAATCATAAATTTTGATCGTTTAACTCTAGTCTTCCATTAATTTTATATTAATTCTGAAAAAAAATTGTAATTAATTTCAATTGAATTTCAAAATATAGTTATTTCTTGGCTAAAATTTGTTGAAATTTTGAAACAGCAATATTCTGCTAATACCGTTATTATATTTTCAGTTGCAGGCCTCATTTTAAGCAACTTTAAGAATTAATTACTATCCAAAATTCATTGCAAAAGTATGGAGGTAACAACTGGTTCAAAATTACGATCGTGTGTAGCTGCAATCGGTGTATCTCTTGCTCGGTGCTGCACGTGTGCCATAATTAGTGAAAACGCCGGCCGGGCGCCACCGGAATTGCGGAAATTCTGTGTAGATGGCACCTAGCACGCAATAAAATGAGGATGCGATGGTAATTATATCAATAATTAATGCCTTCTGCAAAGAAAGTAAAGCAAAAGTGCAGTAAATAATGCTTATAAGCACTAATTAATGGCGGCACACGCCGGCGGCGGAGGGTGATAATTTGCACGAATATGTAAGTGAGCAGTTTGTATAGGATGGTGAAGTCTCCTCCCGGCGGTGTGCTGAACGCGAGTTGTAAAAGAGTTAGCATTTAATTCAAGGTGACCAAAAATTTGATAATATTTTCGTCTTTAAAAATATAAATTTTTTTTTGCTTTGACATGATAATAATTTTAATTATATTGAAAATCACATTCTGAAATCAAAAGAATAATTTTTCAAGCATCAAAAACGGGATTTTTTCCCATTTCAAAATTCATCAATTACATTAAGAAAGAGAAACTGTGGTGCAATGTCATCATCATTTATGTTTGTCATGCTCTAGGAATTCCCAAATGGAAAAGCGCATCGCGAAATAACAATAATGACGCGCGGCTCGCAAGCCAGGCAGACGACTTGGATCACGCACGCATGCAAATAACAAATATAGCAATAATGTGCATCGTGCGCAGTGCATTTATGCTCGGCGGCTGCAAATTTTATACATAACGAAAATTATTTATGTACTCGGTGCACATATAAAGTTGGAGCATAGAGCCGGTGTGTGTGCATGCGGCATAATTGTTAATTATGGCAATAATTTATATTGCCATGTAGCATAATACGGCGCTGCATTTATTAAGGAGTACCGAGTGCATGGTACCTCTAATGTTTGCTATGTATGTCTGTAACTAAGCGAGCATTTACATTTATCTCCGTCGTCGGAGCAACTTCGCGAAGGGAAGAGTTTTGCGCGACACAAAAGCCAGAAAATAAGAAGTATCGTTCAATTTCAAGACGCGCATAAATAAAAAGCTACACACACAAATGCGACACATGCCACGAGACCCAGGCATTTATCCATAATATATGCTTCATTTTTCAATAGTTAAAATAGGGTCGCTTCTTGAAACAAATGAATTTTATCTATTGCTTAACAACATTGGGCTCTATTATTATAACAAATATACAAAGATATTGACATGTAAGGTGTATGATTTTCAAAATGAGATGTATTTAATATATATTAGGTTCTTTTATTGTAAATTTTTTTATAAATGTGCTGAATATTTGTAATTACTATAGCTGTTTTTTTTTAATAAAAAGTAACATAACACATTTAAACTAAAGGCATTAATTATACCCTACTAATTAACTTTTTGCAAATTTTTATATACATGATAATATGTATTAATTAATGTTAATTTTTTTGAAACAAAAATGTTGATTGTAGTTTTTATTGATAGAAAAACAAATTGAACCATAAGATTATTGTAATAAAATAATTAATAATAAAATTATATTGTGTGATAATTATTTCATATATCATTAAATGGTACTTGAGAAATCAGTAACATAAGAGTACTTGATGTTGTTCTATTAGAAAATCTCTGAATAAAATATTTTTGACAATATGCAAATACAGCGATCTTTAGTGTCTGGCTCTTGAAGAGGAGTGATGTAGGCATTTAATGATACTGAACTGAAGCTGTTCCCAAAGTTTACAGCATCAATTGAGAAATCAGTTAAAAGTTTAGAATCAGGATTGATAAGGGCTGACTTTGGGACAAATCTATAAAATACTGCATCTCCTTCTGAAATTTCAAAAATCAGTTTGCAGGAATCCCCCCTTGCCACAATCACAGGCTCTGAGAAGGTGCGCATTACCCTTGAGTTGTACGCCGTCTTAGCTTCACCAAGAAGCTCAAATTGTGTTGTACCTACTTTAAGCAAAACTTTGTGGTGGCTGCTGTCGTAGAATTTTGACGTATGGCTGAAGTTTAAAAGTTGATTAATTACAAATGAAAATTCTTCTCTCCATTTAGGTCCAAGGTGTAGCCAGTCAATGGCGATTGAGTTGATCGTCTCGGTATCTTGATGGGACAAATTCTTCTTGGTAATTCTTTGGGTTCCACGTTGAAAACCAGCCGTTTTGCCAAAACATTCATTTCTTCCTCTGTCAGATGCGCAGATAATTGACGAAGCTGTTCTGCATTTAAGAGAAGAACCTGTATGTGTGGCAAGACGGTTGTAAAAACTTTTTTCCTGTAAAAATTTTGGAGATTATAATCAATAAAACTATTCCAACCTTTAATGAAACAAAATTTCTAGCAGGGATTGAAGATATTAAAGTCATTATTTTAGAATTAAAATAAATAATACTGAAATACCTGATGGTGCGTTCCAACTTATTAAAAGCGTCGACAAGCTCAAACTCGTCAGAAACGTTGATTTCATCCACTTTTACAAAATACTCGAGGCTTCCTAGGCTCATTGCCGATATTAATTTGCTATTGACACAAGCAACACGGATAGTCTATATATTAAAAAAAAAAAATCAAAGGAAATAATTTATAAACTAACTTTAACTAATTTTAATTTCTTTGCTTACCTTGTCACAAGCAGACGCCAAAGCTTTGATACGGCATACCTGGTTAAGCACTTTTACCACATTATTCGTATTGACATGGCTTTGAAGCATTTCAGCCATAAGTTTCGTCAATGGATCTACCATGTACCATGACATGTACATGTCAGAAGTCTGGCCTAGCTCGATTATATCATCAAGCTTGCCATCCAAATTTTCCAAGATGGCTCCGGTGTGGATAAACCTATGAAGAAAACATCCACGTTAAAACAAAAACTGAATAACTTCCATCTTTTAAACTAACTGCATCAAACAAGTGAAAATTTTTGGTTCAGTCTTGATTTCAATCGGCCCTGACGGTGGCGTAAGAGGACTTTTCAGCATGTTTCTGAAAATTTCACTTGCCGCACAAAGATCCAATTTCAATGCGAAAATTTTCTGAAAAATTACATCTGTTACTGAATATATAATTTATTTTATCAAAATCAAAAAAGATTAGTATTAAAAATAAAATAAGGTGCAGAATTACTAATAATCTATATTCTTTTATTGCTTCTATTTATTCATATTTGTGAATAAAAATATTTAAAATCTAGATAACCATAAGAGAGGCAGATGAATGCTGAAATGCTCAATATAAAAAGAGCCGCGGCTGCCACGCTAAACCTACACGCAACTCATTCTGAATCTTTAGCAAAGCATAAATATATATAAATTTTAATATGAATTCTCCTCCACAGTTATTTTTATAGAAAAGTGATTCTCTCGATGAAGAATTTTAATTAATGGCCTACCACTTTCGTTCTTCCGTCTGGTCCCACCAAAAATTCACAGTTGGCCTCATCACCTTTTTGTATCAATTTCGACTTGCTTGCAAGTGATTTGGTAATTGGTGCTAAAGACCTTCGATTCATCTTTAATTGAAAACTGATAAATAAAAATTTTTCATAATATTACGAATTTTGACGTGAGGAAATGAATGCACCACAGATCGTAGTTCTTTGGTGAAAAACAACAATCAATGCAGTTTATGTATAATGATTGAAAATCTGGAAAATCTGACCACATTTTGTGATATGAGACTATTTAAGCAAGTTTGAAGTTTAAAATGTGTAATCAATTAAAATTTTCAGATTTGAATTAAAAAAAAAAAGAATGAATAATGTAAGTTACTTACCAGAGCTAATGAGAACTGAATAATTTCTTGATAAACTTTGCACTCACTGTCGACACAACCAGCAGCTTCGGCACCACAACCAGAACTGACGAACTGACTTCCTTTGCTTTTGCAGACGAATGTGATCCAAATGAAAAACTAGATGGTTTCGAGGAATATAATTTCTTTGCTGCTTTACTGCATGGCTATTGGTAAGAAGTTATTCTGTTTTGACCGCCGCTGCTCGCTCAGCATAAAATGTGTCATAAATGCTCCAGCTTTGTTTTACGATTTTTGCTGGCGTCAAAGATCACCACACACATTAGCATGCGTGCTAGTTTTCAAAATTGAGCAACACCCAGTAATAACAATTCAGCGTGTTCCAATGCAAATTATAAAATCAAAATCTGAACAAGTAACTGGTAAAAAAAAATTAACAATATTTTATTTAATTATTTCACAACAAATAATTGTGTTAAAAACTAAAATTTTCTCAACTCTTCAATTTTCTAAGACTCATTGTGAGAAGAAAAGAATTGGAACTGAAAAATTTAAAAAAATTAAAGAATTAGAATAGTTGTTGAAAGGTCTATATTTGTCTTTTAATTCGCCCCGACTGGAAGTAACTGATTACCAACGTATGTTGAGGATTTTAATGTTTCGCGATTATTATTATTGCCGGCGTGTGTATGTAATATGCTGTGCCTGGCCGTGCCATCGATGAGAGCAGACTGAGTTAAGAAAACACGACGGACGCATTCATTTCAACAGTCCTACAAATACATCACGGGGCCATTAGGAAAACCGCACCACACGGCGTATATTTATCGGCGGATAAATTTGCTGCGCCGCGTTTCATATTTTGTGAGAGTGAACATACTTCGTGCACCCTTTTTCGCCGACGTCGTCGTTCTGATTCATTAAAAGCCACACGGCAATGAAAACAATCACTTATGGGAAAACAAACAGCACGTCAGCTGCGTTGTTTCGTTTCGGCTCAAGGAGACATTCAAGAAGGGTGATATCCAAAAGTAAATATAACAAAACAAATTATTGATTTAAGTGAAAAATATACATAAATGTGCAATAATTGGAAGTGGGATGCAGATAAGGAAATTTTAATTATTGTCTTGTAAAGGCGACTAAAAAAATTAATATTAAAATAAGAGACCTTATTCAAATGAATTTGTGTCTCATTTACTTTTACAAGAAGAGAGCTCTTTTAATGGAAGTTTCCTCAGTTCTTTGAATATATTAATTAAACTTGTTTAAATTTAAATATACTGATTTGGTTTGGAAAGGTTTTCCCGCTCCTCATCAGCGTATTTACGCAGACAACACACATCACATGTGGAAGGTTTGATTAGATTATAAGACGACAGGAGAAAGAGTTGCACAAATACACGTTCGCTCTGTGTACGCACAACTCACCCCAGCAGCAGCCAAAGCCGCCCTCTCTCGTTTGGGAATGTGTACAGTAGGCAACCGGCAGAGCGCAGAGAAAGGAAAGGCAAAGACGAGCGACGGCAAAAGCAAAACGTCCCCAAAAACGACAGCTCAGCAAATTACGTTTGTATTTTATTTATTTAAGAGCGGCCTTTTCGCCGCAGCCCCGTGTACACCTTTAACTTTTTAACCCTCGATTTTATTTCCAGTCACGTGATTGAGAGAGAGAAAAGGGGGTACGTGCCCGTCGGCTGCGTTATTTTTGTCTTAATTCGACTTCATTTGCATTAAATACTCTCTCGCTTTCAACTTTCCTTCTCTCCGCTTTTTGTTTCCTATTTTTTTTTCGTCCTGGTGCTGCCGCGAAAAATTGCTAAATAAAAATTAAACTGGCGCGGCGACTAACTTATTCGCCGGCGCGCGCCATTGCCGTCGGGTGGGCGAGCGAGCGCTTTTAATTGATAAAATTTATCATCCCTTTTGTGTGCCCTGAATAATTGATTAGGGCTTTTTCTTTCGCCAGCCAGCCAGCCATCCGACTAGTAAATAGCTTATCATATTTCTCGTCTCTGCATCCTGATTTTTAATTAAAAATTCTGCGCGCCCCAACGCCGATTTTTAATTAATCCCACGCGCACTTAATTTTCATGAGAGCAACAAAGAAAAAAAAAACGGTTAATTTATATTTCGAAGGTGGCTTCTGCTTACTGATAGTCAAATGTTCAAGAGGAAAGTTTTTAATTAAATCATTTCTTGATCAGGAATTTTAAATCGTGAAAGAAAAAAAATAAATTAATTAATTGATTAATTTAAAGTCCACCAGGTAATCTCCTTATATGTATATCTTTAACAATATTATCTTTCCGAATAAATTTAATTTCACTGCGTAAAATGTCCTGCCTGAATTTTCCGCATACTTTCATAAGTTGAGGAGAATAAGGACCGAGTATTCAAAACTTTTTTCTATTCCACTCTGTGTTCTGTGAACACACGCCAGGAAAAATCCAATAGTGTAAAAAGGTTGTTTTTCGACGAGTTCCTTTTCTGCTGGCATTGCAGCAAAATTCTCATTCGGCGCATAAAAATGCAGAGAAACATTAAGAATTAACACAGCGTGAATAAAAAAGAGAGGAAATTTAATTTAGTTGTTGTTACCCTTTAGGTACGAATACGCACCGGCTGGAATTGCGGCAGACACACATTACACACACGCACAAAAAGAAAACTGCGAAATATTCTGCCACTGCTTTTATTTTTGCAATTGCACAGACCAGGGCGAATTTCAGGGGCTCGTTATTATTATTATTGTGTATGTAAACGTTTCTGTTTACACCGGCGTAATTGTTAAGCGAAAATCACCAAGCATGTAATGCAAATGCTGGCCGGCCGTCTCTCGCATGCTCGACTTTGCGCCCTCCCGAATACGCCGTCTCTGCGCTATTATTGCGCGCCGGCACTCGTCTCTCTCGCCCCGTGTGTGTAATAATATGCGTCCGGCGCCCAAAAGTGACCCTCTGGTCAAAGTACCGTGCTGGCCGAGGAACTTATTTTATTTCGCCAGCAGACACACGGACGGCTGGATTGCCATTATTGCCCAGACTGCAGATTTCCAACCCTCCTCTTTCACCCAACATTCTCTTACAATTTTAAAATTCTTTATTAATCTTTTAATTATATAAAATTTTATTAAAGATTCAATTCAATTTCAATTTGTGTTAATTTTTGTTGGATATTAAAAGAAATTAGTCAATTATGAAAATTTAAGGAAAAATTATCATTATATTTTCACATTATTTATTTTTCCTAAAATGCTATTTGATCTCTTTAAATTGTGTCTTTTCTGATTCCAAACGCAAGGAATTATTTTATTTCTTAGTTCAGAAATAATTCAAAAAATTTATGACTAACAGTTGCAACACATACAAATTTGAAGAAAGAAATCAAGCAAAGCGCCTTTTTTTACTTTTTTAATGATAAAAATTATTTTACTTGTGCTTCTTTGTACTAAAATTTTTGCCTATTACAATTGCTTTATAAAAACATGAGATTATTTCACCTCAGTCCATTCATTCTTTTATATCTCCCTGGGTGAAGAGTGAAGATGTAATTTTATTTTATTGCAATGATAAATAAACAGTTTGACTAATTGAAAGAAGTTGCCATTTCCTTTTTAGTTGCAAAACTATAATTTGAACGTGCGTGTGAAAATTTGATTTTATCTCTCACAGAAAATTTAAAATGCAGACATTCAAGTGACATGGTCGGTCGGTCCTTAAAATTAGGTGCGAGAGAGGGTTTTGTGTACGCGTATTCATATTTGTAGGTGCCGTACACGTTTTGTGTGTGGTGTGTGTCACACCTGCCTTCACACAAACGCACACACATTCGAGAATACGCGAACAAGTTATGGGGAACTAAGTATCCGTGACCGTGGATGTGGTCGCACACAAAAGCGCGCGGGATAGTGTTTAACCCTTCCATTTAATTGTGGAAAACCTAATACCCCAGCCAGCTTTGATTTGATGCTTGACTCATTTTGCAATATCGCGCGCGCCTCGCACGGCTGCCTTGCTTCGCCTTGCAGATTCTATAGCGCGAGACAGATCGGGTGAATGCAACGCATTGGGTATCAGCGGCAAAGGAGAACTGCTGGAATTAATTTAATATGTATGAAAAAGGTTGGTAACCCGAGTGGTCAAACATCCTGGGGAATCCGCAATTCTGGGTGCTGAAATGCATCACCTGTTGTATGGCGGATGTGTCTCATCCAATAGAAGCCAAACGCATTGCAGAATTGAGTAGAATTGGATTTTATCATTAAAATTATATTGTGAATGTATGTAGGACTGAAAATGTCCTAAATTTTATTAAAACATAAAATATTTTTATAAGTAAAGTTTGTTTTAAAAAAATATTATAGTTATAATTATTATACAAATAGCTTTATATACCATTTATTTAATTAAATTTATATTGTTTTAACAAATTTTTTTTAAATATCATTATTTGTTTTTTTTGTTTCAAATTTTTTTAAATAATATTTTTAAAAATTGAAATAACATTAAATTTAGTGATAATCAATAAACTTTTTTATAGTAGTAAAATTAATATAAAAATTAGAAGGAATTCCATTCCAATATGATTTATTATTTTGTAAACAATATCTCATTACATCCAATTAAATTTTCATTATCATCATTATCATTAAAATATTTATAATTCTAACTGTTCATAATCTAGAGTACATAAATTTCAATGGATATCACTAAATGAATAACTCCCATTATCGTTGTTTATTTGTCCACATTGTTACAAAATACATTGTTTACATTCCAGTTGACAGTTTTATTTTAAGACTTATCCTATAACGAAAAATATTAAAAAAAAAAAAAAAAAAAATTAAATAAGCAAATAAGCAAACATATATAACATATATATCAGATATAATAAAATGAAAAATGACGATTATGGACCTCGCCACGAAATTTAATACGAGTTACAAGACCATCAGTGCGCAGAAGCTACCGGCGCTTAGGTGAGTGAACGCGGCTGTCGAGTTGCTTTTTATTCTATTTTCCTGCTCTTTCAAATGAGCTCTTGCTGGATGCTGGCGTTGGTGTTAGCTGCT